TATTATCATTTGAGTTAACTTTTACGAGATTTGATTTTTTTTGATTTATTTATATTACTGATGACTTTATTTTATTCACTCATTTAATGCTATGTGCTTTAATCTCATTACAGATAGTTGATGATACTAGATCTAGCACTGATAATCCATCTCAGCCCACTAATACCACTGAACAAGAACAACAGTTACAAGAAGAGGCACAACATATACAGAGAGGGCTTTATATCATTAAAGAGATGGTAAAAGCGAGGTCAGAGAGAAACAAGGTTGCTATGCAATGGAATAGGAAGAGACCAGCTATGAAATCTAATAAGTTTATTAGTTATATTGGCACTATGATAAGAAGCACTGTACCAATCACTGTACAGTACTAGAGGAAGGTAGATCGTGTAATAAGGGATACTATCTGGTAAAATATACTGGTAAGATATTATTATGACAATTCAAATTTGCTTGTTTCATAAGACACTTTAAACTAATCGTTTGATTTGTGAATTTTATAGTCAAGATTTTACATCGATGAGAGTAAAAAGAATTATGTTTTAGGAAAGGCTGGAATAGTACTACACTCATTTTGATATTTCATTACAAAGAAATACTTAAAGGATCCTTTCTCAACTAACAAGTCTGAGGTTCCTCTCCTGATACGAGAAGTGGTCAAATAAGAGGATTGAGCTGCTTTTGTTCAATCATGTCGCAAAAAGCAATTTCAAGTAACATTTATTCTCCATTCTAAAATGAATTGTATTTAATATTTAATGTATTCACCTAAATCTTCTTTGTTTTCATGGGAATTAAGCACCCAAAATAATAAGAGGGTAAGAAGAATGAATATCCCTATCGGAAAAGGTGCTTGGGGTATGCAAGGCTCGAGAAAGAAGTGACTGAAAATGAGGGATCAGACGTTACTATATCCTGTCTAATGCTATGGGCATTGGCCAAAAAAATATAGACAGACAAATTGATAATCCTTACATGAAGGAGATGTCAATAGGATGGTAAGTTTTAATGTGCACTCTTGTTTAATTAATATCCTAAAGTAGCAATACTAACAATATTTGCTGCACAGAAAACTATGTCCCAGGAGGCTTCCTAAGAAAGAAGCAATCCATCAGATGATCAAGATATATTGAGGATGGCACTAGGGACTCTTGACCACCTCGGTCGTCTTAAGGGTGTTAGCTTCAGAGTCACAAAGTAAGCTTATTTTGGGGCTAGGGGCTAGACAAAAGCCCTTAACATCAAACATGCTTTCTTCTGTTGAGTTTATGGAGTTGAAGGAGGAAATGCGTTGGATAAAGGAGTAGGTCAACACAAGTGCTCTTGATTGATCAATTGATCAAGGGCCAAGCACCACAGCCAGCTTTAAATCTCAGCCCAAACAGGAAAGACAGCTACACATTCCCCTCTTTACCTGAGGTATAATGGTACTTGTATTTATATTATCACATTTAATTATTTTTTAAACAAACTAAATAACATATATATGTTTGCTTAGGGTGAAGCAAACATTCAGTGTGTGGTAGTTAGCCCTAAACATCACACCATCGCCATAGGCCGCATGTTCAACTTATCGAGAGAGATCATGATTCATAATATGGCTCTCCTTGCTGATCACGTAAGGGTACAATTGAGCATTGCCATAAATGGTAACTACGCCCTTCATATGCCTACCCCAGATGCAAAGACAGTGGCCCAACCTCTGCGTAGTGTTGTTCCTTAGCCTGGACATCTTATTACATTATCATCGCCTAAAAAGATGTGTGTGTGTCGAAAGCTTCAACTAATTTAAAATAATGTATAAATTCTGTTTTAATTGCTAATTATATGTTTGTTGGTCTAAGGGCAAAAAGAGTCTATTAGGAGATCAGTCATTGTCATGTTCATAGAAAAAGCCCTCTAAGCATATTCTCACAGTGTTATCAAGATATCGAATATGTCTTGAGGAACATATAAAGTGGGCAAGATTAGAACACCGCCACTACTTGATGATTCCTCTCGACTTTGAGCCAAAGGTCTATAGTAGAGCCATATCTGAGTATGTCACAAATGATGTACTGAAAGAAATTCTAGCGCATGAAATAGCTAACACGAATGCCTATAACTTTTGTATAAGGTATTTTTCAAACCATGATTAAATACTTAATTACTTAGAACATTTATTATATTAATATGTTTCTTTGGGTAATTAGTTACTTTTACAAGAATTTTATTGTCCTTAGCGGTTATGATGAAAAGTTCTGGTTCATCAATCCCCACACTTTTGCCAGCCACGACTCTGATATAAAGCAAGGCTTATCGAGGTACCTAGTGGATATCTTCATTTCAAGGGCAATAAAAAATAGGGACACTTTCTTTTTGGTACCTTATTACCAAGGGTAAGTATACTAAATTTTATATTTTATAATAGTTTCTAATTAATCGCTCTCATTATCTTTATTGTACTTAGAGGAACCTAAATGCTGATTATGGTCAATCCCTTCAAGCCAAAAATTTGGTATTTCGATTCTTTTAATGGGAATCTGACTGATCGACTATTTATGCAATCAATGTTTAATATGTATTGAATATGTTTTATCACATTGAATTTAATTTCTTCTTTCTATAAAGTTACTATTACGATCTATCGATGATGAATTATCAACGAGGGATAGAGGTGGCAGAGAAAATTAAAAAGATGATTCTTTGTACCTTCTGAGGGCTTCCTTCTGCTTGCATTTCCAAATGTGAGCCTGTGATTGATTGGGTGTACTTATAATTTATGTCTCTTTTGAGTGATATATGACTTGATATTGCTACTTCATGTCAGTTACCAATTAATAATCATGACAGAGTACTATAAAACACACGTACGGCATTTTTAGAGCAATGAATTCTTAGCTTTATATATGTTCTTCTTCTTTTTGTCCATTAATTCTTGCAGCGCCACCAATCCAGTAAATATCCTATGCAGAATTTCACACATTTTGGTAATTAAAATTCTTTTTTAAGATTTCTTGGTAATTCTCCCATCTTTATATGACAAAAATCATGTGTAGACTTCCATTCCACACTCAGTCCGTACCGTAAAGGTGCATTTGGTACGAGGAATTTGGAGGAAATGGGAGGGAAAAAGATTTTAATCATTTCTCTTTGTTTAGCAACACACAAATTTTAGGATGAAAGAAAAAATTATAAAAATTTTAAAAAAATTTTCCTCCCCTCCCCTCCTCAACCTCCCTTCCAAAATTGGGAGGATTTGAAGGGAAATAATAATATTTTGCCATGTTGTGACTATTATACCCATATTTATTTTTAATATACCTATACTACCTTAAATCCTTCTCTTTTTCTCTAGACGCTACTCTCTCCTTTGCATGACCAAATATTTCATTCAAAGATGGAATACAGTACAAGTTGTGGTTGAACATTATTTCAACTTTCTTTTCAATAATACTTTGCACTCTAGAGTATATTAAAATTTTGGTATAAGTATTACTCAATATATTAAATCTTATTTACAATTCTATTTTATTAAACATTATATAAAATTTGAAAAAATAATTTTAAATAAAATAAGGGCAAAATTATGCATGTTAAAATATTTTTTCTTCCCCTCCCCTTATAAACCAAACAAAGTAATATTAAAACTCATTCTCTCCCCTCCTTTTTATAAATCCAAACAAGGTAATATTAAAATCCTTCCACTCTCCTCTCCTCTCTTTTCCTCTATTAAAATCTCTCTCCATCTCTTCCTCTCATTGAGCCTAACAAACCCTAAATTGCTCATTAGCAGTCACTATTGTTTGATGGGGTCGGATAGGCCCAAAATGAACCCAATAGATATTATTATTTCTAACCATACATGCTCTTAAATTATTTCCAAATTAAGTTGAAGAGATTGAGCTATTATTATGATATTTGTGCTATTGAATAATATTATAATCATATTTAGTATTTACATGGGAAATCGGGGATAAATTTTTATGCGTTGATATAATTTTTTGTCTTTGAAATCTAAGCTTATTTTGGTTTTGGTCTCTCAAAATTTAAACTCATGGTTTTAATCCCTAAAATTTAGTTTGTCTTAAAACGTTGGTCCCTAGAGATGTAATAGTGTTGAGATTTACTGAAGTCTTGTAAATAGTTTTAAAGTGATGATGTGAACTCATTAGATAACACCTAGCTAGATCTTGTGTGTATAATAGAACAATTGTATAGAAAGGGATTGAGTCTCAAAACGTGAATAACTCTTCAAATGAATAGCCAAAAAGTAAAAAAGAGGGTCAAATAGCTACGTTTTGAGGATATGTCCTTTTCCCCCTTTTGTTATCTACAAAGGATCCAGCTAAGTGCCATCTGGTGAATTCACATAAGCACTTTAGCACCATTTATGACATTTTGGCTGATTTTAACACTATTATATCTCTAGGGAGTAAGGTTTTAAGACATACTAATTTTAGATACTAAAACCATGTGTTTGAAATTTGAGGAGCTAAAACCAAAATGAGCTCAAATTTTAAGGATAAAAAATTATATTAACATATTTTTATTGAAAAATTAATTTGGCTATTAACTTCCCTTGCATATAACTTATTACTTGTATTTCTTTGCATATAATTCATCTTCTATTGTGCAATCATCTTTCTTTATGCGATATTTTTTCTTTGTGCAATTGAACTACTTTAATATGAAATACATCTTTTTCATGCGCAAATTAATCGTAATGTTTTATGCAAATCATCATCCTTGGAACCATTTATTAATTAATTTTACAATGAGGGATTTATCACAATTTTTTCTATTTATGTTTATAATATTTTAAAAATAAATCTTTGTTAGTTAAAATTAATTAAAATAAAATATCTGCTCTAATAAAAATATCTCTCTATGAGATGATTATCGTTGGAATTAGTTTATCATAACCGACTCATGTATAACAAATTTAAAAATATTTTTTAAACCCCATACCTCCGCATAGCCTGGCATGGCAGCGTGGCTACTGATTGAGATAAATTATTAAGGCGGGGCCTTTGCCTCTGTTGTGTGCGCCGCCTGTACTGGAGCGAAGCTCGCGTTTGTGATCTCTTCTTCAGCGACAATAGACGGAACCAAGGGGGATATTCTGGTGAAGAGAGAAGAAATCAAAGATGGCGCTGAAGTTTCTGAACAAGAAGGGGTGGCATACGGGGAGCCTAAGGAATATCGAGAACGTTTGGAAGGCGGAGCAAAAGCATGATGCCGAGCAAAAGAAGCTGGAGGAGCTTCGTAAGCAAATTCAAGAGGAGAGAGAGCGTACGGAGTTTCGTCTTCTTCAGGAGAAGGCAGGCTTGGTCCCGTAAGTGTTTTGCATCTCACTCTATTTATGCTGTTATCTTTTTTCCTGATTCGATTTGATCTGGTTTGGATTTTCCTTTGGCGGTCAGGGTTAGTTTTTTATAAGGGTTGTAGATGTGTATTATTTTTTGTTATTCCTTCCTTTCAGTGCCGTTTCTTCTTGATTTCTTCTGATTTTTTCTTTTCTGGCCTCGCTTGGTTTTCGATTAGGGTTTTTTGATGTCCGGTGCGGATTGATTTCCTTTATTTAAAAAAAATGACACTTTTCTGTGTGGGATATTTAATCCTTTATGCATGAAGGAACCTTTTTTTCTTATCAAGGAAATATTTTACTGATTTTGATTGCAGTAAGCAGGAGAGATTGGAGTTTCTATACGATTCTGGTTTATCCGTAGGGAGGACTGAGAATTCTGAAGGATTTAAGGCCCTCGAAGCTTTCCCGAAGCCCGATGCCGGTGACGCACCTTCTTCCTCGGCTTCTGCATCTAAGGTATTTGATGTACTTGATTGAATTGAAGTCTTCCTACAGTCAATTTGTGTTTTCTTAATGTATGACTTCTTATGGCCAAAAAAATGTATGATTTCTGATATTTTCGTCTTTGATGGATCTGTAGCAGCAGCAAACTGCTCCTGGTGCTTTATTTGAGGACAAGCCTCACTCAGCCAATGATGCTTGGAGAAAGCTTCATTCTGATCCATTGCTCATGATTCGCCAGCGTGAGCAGGAAGCACTTGCAAAAATAAAAAACAACCCCATCAAGATGGCCATGATTAAAAAATCAGTACGTAATCTTTTAGACTGGGAGCACTTTAACTGAATTGCTGAAGAACTTAATTGCTTTGAAATATTAATCATCTGTCTGTGACTTGAGCCGTATTGCTTTAACAGTTAGCTGTTTATAAATGACACTCATGAACAGTTTTACTGGATGATTAAATGGGAGCGAGGGGGTACGACTGACTTAGTATTGAATTATGGTCCTGATCATGATTTGTTGATTATGATATTTTCTGGTTAGGATTTGGTTGTAAATTATTAGAATTGATAGTGATTGATCGCAAGTAATTAGGGGGAATAGTTTTTGTAATGACTAGTGGGACAAGGCTTGGGAGAATTACTAGGAGGTGCTGAGGCAAGAAAATAATTACCAAAAAATCCCTGTTGTCATTTCTTATGCTAGAACTTGCATTGTATGATGCTCTGTTCTCACTAAAACTTTTTAGTAATTATGTGCCTACTTGGGACTTTATAGCAGTTCTCCCATAAGGCTTTGCTGCTGCTACTGCTGTTGTATTTGTTGCTAATTTGTTTTCTTGTACTTGTATCCTCAGTATAAGAGGCTCTTGCAGATCAGCGCTCACTAACTACATTTCTCCCATATTCTTTCCTCTCATATCTCTCTTATTCTTTATACTCTCCCCTACTTTTCATTAGCCAAAAAGAAAGTGGTTGAGAGAGGTAAAGCTGTGCTACAGATTTGGCTGACCATTATGTATGCCATAGCTGAACATTTATTTATTGGTTTTTGAGAAAATGTAGGTTTAAATACCAAAGAATAAGTTTTATTTTTTTCCCCCTTAGTGTCTTAACCTTCTCAACAACAACGACAACAAGTATTATTCCATTAGGTGGGTTCGATTATATAGATCACATGACGCTAATATGCTCTATCTGCAACCAAATCCTTAGTCAGTCCCAAATCCGGATAAAAGAGAAGGGCTGTGTTAGGCTTTCGATAGTCAACATAAAACTTCGTCCAATTTTTATGAACATTTATTAACTCTCTCGCATGGGCAATATCATTCTGTTTCATTTTAGTGCATTAAATAAAGCTCTTCCACATGCATGTGCACGCGCACAGACTTGGTGATAAAATTTAAACATGCCATGCATTACGCAGGTTACAGACATGTGAGGGTAAATATGTCAAGAAAATTCTTCTTTGATACGAATTGAAATTTTGGTTCAAGCTTCTTGGCTTGAAAAGGCTAGTGATGCAGCCAAAGCCTTTTAACGGAGTCTACAAAATTAGCCATCCTAAGTTTTCTTGAATCTGCTTTCAGAGAGACTAAATCTTTGGGAAAGACATATTTGTAGTAACAGACCCAAACTGAGGTCTGCCTTGATGTAGAACCTGTAAAACAAACAATATTATAGGACAGACACTAGTGGACTCCCTCAAAGAACAAATAGGAGCTGTTAGTGGAATTTTGGTAGCAGTGCGGGGAGTCAAGGCTGGATCACTGCTTAGGGAAATATCTGAGGGGAGAGAGACATGGGAAGGCTGTTCAGGGAAAACTGTGAAGGGTGTAGAAAATGGCAAATTTGAGGTGAGAAAGGAGAGTGGGCTAGGCAGAAAATAGGGTATCCCTGTGCGAGGTTCAAGCGCTCAAAGCTCTATTTGAAATTTTTATTGCTTTTTTTTCCCCCTCTCTTCATTTTATCTGTTTCCTAGTGCAAGTTCAGAGGGAAATCTATGTTGTTTCCATCTGCGACTTGCATGTGTAGCTTCTGAAATTTGCTTTTTAGGTCATTAGGTCAATATCCTGTATTTTTACCCAGTTGGGGCTAGTTGGGTCATGGGTCTGAGTTGGTACTAAGTGGTTTTACCCCTCATGAGAAACTTGGATAGGACGGAAAAAATATGGATGTTTGTTTTACATTGTGGTCCTGTTTCTTTGGTTTGCCTAGATCCGTATAAATGGTTGAATGTCAGGCATGAGTTATTTCAGACAGTGAGCAGTGTTCTTTGGTTATATGGTGTAGCTCTTGGGTTGTGAATTATATTACTTTTATATAGAGGTTGGAACCCCCCTCCAAAAAAGACAAAAAAAAAATGAAAAGAAAGACAGGAATAAATTCTACCTCTACCCATCGTCCGTGGGTTCAGTTGGCGAAAGGGTGAGACATATGACCAAGTTGGCATGTGTTCGATCCCTGGAAAGTACCACTTTGTTGTGGTTCCAGTCGCGGTGCTTGGGGAGGCATCCTAGCTCCTGGGTGCCTAGGTAAATGCCTGAGGATAATTAACGGTTCACCTTGCCCAACATTGGTATGACCTAGGAGGAAGGGAGATTTCGCCCTGCGATTTGGATCGTGGGTGAGCCCAATCCCTTTCCAAAAATTTTTTCACCAAAAAAAAAAAAAAATTCTACCTCTTGTCCTCGGTAGTAATAATAAATTGATGCTTTGTTTGACATTATGTTCGACACATGACCCTTCCTAAATTGTCGGTGGCAACTTTGCAGGTTAAAGGAACAGAACCTGAAGAGAAAACTCTTGACAAAAAGGAACGAAAGAAGCATCGTCATAGTAGTTCAAAGCATCACAAGCATTCATCATCAAGACACCCGTCTGATCCTGAAGATGACCCTTCGGAAAGGAGAAAGAGGAAGACAGGTCACGGTTATAAGCAGCATCATAAAGCCCACTCAGATTCAGAGTATGATTCTGGTGAAGAGGAGGGGAGAAGAAAGAGGAAGCACAACGAAGATAGAAAATACATAGAGAAGTCCCCCAGCCGCAGTCCAAGGCAAAGAGGTACAAGAGACTATAATAAAAAAACTGATGACAGATATTATAGCAAGTCCAAGTCAGAAAGATATGCTTCAGATGGTCAGTCAAATGGTGATACCTTTAAAAGTGGCAGGGAGAGTGAGCGGGAAGATAGGAGCTTCATTGATTCTAGCTCTAATAGATCGTCACAGTATAAGCGAAGAAATGCAGTACCAAAACTTTCAGAAGAAGAGCGAGCTGCTAAACTCAAGCAGATGCAATTGGCTGCTGAGTTGCATGAAGACCAGAGGTGGAAACGGTTAAAGAAGGCAGAGGAGAATGATGCAAAAGAAGTCATCCAGAGTAGTACATCTGGTGGTAGGAATTTCTTGGATGCAGCGCACAAGAGTGTCTATGGTGCTGCTGAAGGTGGGAGCTCATCAATAGCGGAGAGTGTCCGCCTTCGGACACATTACTCTCAAGGTAGGTCCGAAGCAGGTGAAGGCAATGCATTTAGGCGCTGATGTACTTGAATTCTTTTCAGCTTCTCCAAGAAGCAGAAGTTTGAATCCTAAAACAATTCAGCTAACCACCCCCACCTTTTGGTGTGATGCGCTTGGATTTTGAATGCTGCTATTGCCAATCATAGCTATCCACGCGGTCTTTTCAGGCTCGGTCATGTGATATTATCCCTGTATCAATCTGTAATGCTGTTTAATTTGAATTTATCTTGATTTTGGAAGATCCATGTTTCAGGGGAATATATGTACAACGGTGTTTAAGGTTTTAGGATTTATTTACATAAAATAATATGATAGGATTCATCTTGAAAATATTGGGAAAACAAGTAGAGTATATCGTATGAGAAGAAGTGATTGAAACAGATTTTTAACAAAACTGATATAATATCGCGTAGCTTATAGCATCTCTTTTATGTCTATAGTGCTGGTCGGAACTGTTCATTCTCATACTATCTTAGTACTTTATTATTAGCATGATTTGAGAATATATCAAGTTAAAAGTAAAATTATTCTAAATTTTAATCATTAATGGTTACTACCTTTGATTCTAGATATAATATATAATTTGAAGAGTGAATCATACTATAAAATAGATATTTTATTTAGGACTAGATGTAGTATAATTTTCCTATTAAAAAACAACCTCGGCATACCTTTTAAGGAGATATAATTATTAACTAAATTAAATTTTAAGTACTTACGTGCTATAAGTATTTTACACCACAAACTGCCACAAACATATAATCGGTTTAATCATAGTTGATTAGCCCGTAAATCAATGTCCTAGACATAAGAAGTTGAGTTTTATAATGTGTAAAACTATTTAAGAAACCGTTGGCCAGAAGAAAAAAACGATTACTCAAGAAACATAACCTAATAATATAAAGGTACTCAACAAAACATGAAGCGGATAATGACATGAATAACCATATATGACTAAAGTTCTAATATGGCGAGTTGTCTTCTACTTCAGATTATATACAAATAATTTAATTTCATAATAATTCTTTTTATCTCAATTAATGGAAGTATAACATGCAACATTAAATAAACTCCTATAGATTATTTTACACACATTGAATCAACTAGTTCCGAAAATAGATGGTGCTGAAACGTGTGACCTATACCCAGACGTCAAGCCCCGATAAGTAGGAGGGTGTGGGGATCACTGCAAAACTCTCTTTAAGTTAATTTTTTGAATTATAGATTATAGGCAAATAACTTTCAGATATAGCATGATTTTGTTAATGAAATATCAATACGTATATAATATCAAGTTTTAAATCAGCTAATCATGTTTTTTTATGTGGTGGTAATTTAGTAGGTGCAGCAAGGAAAGGCAAGGCTAGGGGGCCATATACGTAAATGAAAGCTTGAAGGCCCATCTATGCATTATACAGTTGCATGTCTCCATCCGTCTTGTTAAAGTGAATTAATCAATTAATTAATATTTGAGAAGAGAAACCATTCGCATTCGTTTGTCATCGACTTCCAATAAATGCCAGCCTGCCGACACACCCATACCCATTTCTTCCCTTAATTCAATTTTTTTTTAATTGAGTTTTTCATCCTCCTGTAATAAATCTGGAATAATTCAACAATTCAGATGATAATTCGCCTAAAAAGGACCCCAAATGTTTAATCAGTGCGTCTTACTTTCAATATCTGAATTCTATACTAGCAATATTTTTTAAAAAAATAAATAAATGGAGATCCACATTCAACACATTTATACATTATTTTCATAGTCAACTTGATTTATGTATTTTTAGTGGTTGGAGGGACAGAAAATAACCTCTAAAACCGTGGCACTGAGCTAGCTTTGTGGTTGCGGTACTGTTTCTTGGAGTTGCATAATTAGTAGGACAAAATGTCAAATCTTCTCAAAGGTAGATAGATAGACTGAATGTAACATGTGAAGGTGAGAAGACACTTGGAAACTTGCATAAGTTCAATCTCTCAAAACCCGTGAAGAACAAAACAAACATGGAGTTCTTCTTCTGCTTCCTGCTTCTCTCTGCTCATCTTCTGCTAGCATCTTCCCTTGTTCAATTTCAAGGCATGTCTCTTTACATAAATCTATATGCTTTCCTTTCTCCACACACACGTACACACATATGCAAATCTCTTATTTGTGTTTCTCTGAGCAACACTCATCTTGGGAAAGAATGTTGAATTTTTGAATGTTTCTTGACGCAGTACTGCTCTTTTAAATGGCCCGCTTTGCTAATAATGAATTGAAGTTTAACTATCTGTTGTTTGTGTTCTTATGGAGAATTAGCAAAGGCTTACTCTTATTATTGGATCACGAAGAACTACCACAATTAAGTGCTTGTTTGTGTCATTTACAAGAATAATATCTGCAATATCTGATTGGTGATAAAAGGAGAAGTTGCGTTTTGGTTTTTCCTGAAAAGTGAAAAGTAAGGCTCTATTAATTAGTACTTGAAAACTTGATTTTGTTCATGTTTCATCCTTCTTAAATAATAAAGTCATACTGTAAAGTCTTTGAAAGAACATGTACTCAGTGAGATTGAAACAAAATCAAAATTTGCAGCAGTAGCATGATGTAAAAAGAACAAATAGGTGGGGTTTTACTCTCTTCTTCATTATTATGCATCTTATAAAAGAATATTGAACTTGTAAATTGTTTATTTCGCAGATAATGGCCTGACCCCAAAACAAGTTAGCATTCACCTTGAAGTACACCATGGTCAGTCTCAACTCAACCATTCCACAACATCAAGTTTGGAATTTTTTTCACCCAAAATCCTTGAAAAGGATGAGCAGCGAGTCGAGGCGATTCGCTCAAGATTTTCCAACAAGAACTTGAGCAACATCAAGCCAGAACTTGTAAGCACCCCATTGAAATCAGGACTGTCTATAGGGTCAGGCAATTACTATGTGAAATTAGGAGTTGGGACCCCTCCTCAGTACTCTAGCCTTATTGTGGACACGGGAAGTTCTCTCTCATGGCTTCAGTGTCAACCCTGTAAAGGTTCTTGCCATCCCCAAGTTGACCCTTTATTCAATCCTTCCAGATCCAAAACCTTCAAGAAATTCCCGTGCTCTTCTCCTTCATGTTCCTCTCTTAAGGAGTCAACCCTTAATGATCCTGGTTGTGAGGTTGGATCTGGTGCTTGTGTGTACAGGGAAGCATATGGTGATTCCTCATTCTCAATTGGTTATTTGAGCCAAGACGTGTTAAGCCTAACCCCATCAGAAACACTACCAGGTTTTGTGTATGGTTGTGGACAGAACAATCAAGGTTTGTTTGGAAAGAGTTCTGGTATTCTAGGGCTAGGCCATGATAAGCTCTCTGCACTTGCACAATTGTCCACTAAATATGGTTATGCCTTCTCATATTGCCTTCCCACTTCTTTCTCTGCCTCTAAACCTTCCAAAGGAGGCTACTTGTCCATTGGATCCTCATCATTGGCAAAATCACCATTCAAGTTCACCCCAATGGTCAAGAATCCGAAAATCCCAAGCCTATACTCCATTGACTTAACCGCCATCACGGTGGCAGGGAGGCCACTTGGCATCGCCGCCTCAAGTTACAAGGTCCCAACCATCGTAGACTCAGGCACAGTCATCACAAGGCTACCTATGCCAGTATATACAGCATTAAAAGAAGCCTTTGTGAAGATCATGTCCAAAAAATATAAACCCACAGAAGGAATTTCCATACTGGATACTTGCTTTGAGGGAAGGGCCAAAGAGATAGTGAATGTGCCTGAGATTGGGATGATATTTCAGGGTGGGGCTGCCCTACCACTTAATGGACACAATACCCTTATAGAGCTTGATGAGAAGACCACCTGTTTGGCCATTGCAGGTAGCTCTGGGACTAACCCCATTGCCATTATTGGTAATTACCAGCAACAGACATTCAATGTTGCCTTTGATATCTCCAATTCTAAGATTGGATTTGCTCCTGCTGGCTGTGAATGATCAGAATATTAGTTAGGTTACAGCGTTTAGATTCTCTGCAGGGTGCTGTGCAGAGCCTCTACAACAGAAAATCAACGGCCCTGAATTGTTCAACTGATCCAACGGTTATTCCAAGTTGGTCAGTGTAAATCATCAAATCTGTCAGAACAATGTTGGCTGGTAGATGCATCTGTGCAGGCTCAACACCTCAGCTGTGCAGCGAAACCGAACGTCCTAGTATATTATTCTGTCAACTCATTATATCATTATTATGAGCCAATAAGAATCACTAAGGTTTAAGTTTCATAATGTGATCAGATCTACAAACACATTATCTTTAATGATTGAGTTTCTATTAATTTGTGCATTGTATCAGTTTGATGTATTCTTCACTGTGAACAAGTACGTATTATTTACATTTAGTTTGAGAAGCTGTCATTTTGCTGCAGTGGTGTTCACCATATCTTAGTTTGTGGCTATTAATAAAGCAGGTCGATGTTGAGTAAATGCATGTTGTATATCTCTTTTAATTTCTATGAATAAAAAGGCATTCTCTTTTCACCAAATGCAACAACTTCTTGTTCTTAGAAAATTAATAACAGCCACAATTTCTAAAAATACTATTTGTTGTCACTGTTGAATACATGTTAGTGTTTTTGGATTTTTTTTTTTTTGCCAACGTTTATTTTTGGATAATTAAATTTAAGTCAAGTTGTTTATATTCATTAGTCCAAATTTTTCAGTCTCACTTATTATTATGTTATTTTGTCGTTTTTCATTGTTAAAATGCATATGTGCACTTATAAATTCACCTATGAATATTTGTAAATTTCTGTTTCAACCCTTATAATCTAAATTAATATTTATGAATTTTCATATAGACACTAGTTATTTTCCTATTGTTAATTGTTAAAACATACATACATTTACCTGTAAATTTAGTTGTGAACTTAATCTAATATACTCCTCCAGTTCTTATTATAAGACCCCATTTTACTTTTTATTTGGTCCTAATTATAAGACCCCAATCCATTTTGTCTCTTATATTTATGCATTTTTTTCCAAGATAATCCTTCTGATAATGATAGTTTTAGCCAATATACTTAATTAGCAAGGATATTTTAGGAATGACAACACTTATTTATTATAAATAACCAACTTAACTTACTTCCTTAATCTCCTCAAATAAGTCAATTGGGTCTTATAATTAGGACCGGAGGAGTATATAAGTAATTTGATCTAGATTTTGTCCTTAATTTTTTTAATAGAAATTTTTGGCTGAGATATGCTATAAAGTCAACTTCCTCACCTTAAAACCACAAGATCTGCATGCGATAAATTAGTTGGAAGAAAAAGGCGGTTACTTTCTGTTTTTGTGACATAAAGTTGAACTTTGACTATAGTTTTATAAAAACATTTTAAAGATGACTTTGTATCAATTACTTTTCTTAAGAAATGCAGGCAACCCTATATAATATTTTTTAATAACCGGAATTATACAACATCCTAAGTCAGTTCCATATAATTCCTAGACATTTCAAGGTTTATATTCAACCCCCTTTAATGATTTAATCTTTGACATTAAACCTCCTGTTATTATTTTTATCGTTAAGTTACTAACAGAAACTAATTATACACATTAGACGTGGCATTTGATATGGATTGAAAAAATTGATGTTATAATATAAAAAAGAAAAAATAGCAAAAAATAGACCGTCAAAATAACAAAATTGTATACAGGAACCGGTTTACATAAATTATTGTCAAAATCCATACTAATATTGTCAAAACCTATAATAATATTGTCATGGGTCTTTATTTATCATTTTTCTATTTCGGTGATCTTTTTTTTACCATTTTCCGTATAAAAAAATTATCCTGAACTTTGGAGCCCATTCGATCTTATTACTTTCCTTCCTGAGGATTAAAAAAAAAAAAACTGTGTAGCATGAAGCAGCCTGGCGTGTGAACCTAAACCTAATCAGAAAGTTCTGCATGTTACCAAAAAAGGGGAAAAAAAAAAAGAAAAGAAGTCAAGTTACACATCAATGACTCAGGAAAATTACTCTTTCTCATTGTCATGTTCTTTCTTTTCGTAATATTGGCGTGATGTGCCTTTCATGAGGTGCAAGAGCTGGAATTTAAAATATAATTATTCATTTGTTTGAACTTAATTAAATTTTTTTTGGCCCAAAATAAATCTTAATTGTAAACTTAAATTTTTTAAAAATAATTTATACTGTTGTCTCTCAAGAAAAACAGTGATATTTTTTTCAGGTCTCAACAGTGTGACGATTAACTTTGCATGTGTTACATACTGTATATAGTAAATAATTTTCTTTTTTTATTCGGACAATTTTTTATTCTATAATTTTCTTTAGAGTGTCCTAGCTCTTTTGGAAATAATTCTTGAGCGAAAATGTATTGAAATTTTTAAATAGTAAATAAGTATAAGGACTAAAATTATTGTTAATTTCTTCTATTTTTAAATAGAAAAATATACCTAAATAAATTTAAAAAAAATTCAAGTAGTAGTATTCTTAAAACCCAATAGTAAGTTTCATAAATTTAAAAATAATTATAATCCATACCAATTAACATAAAATATAGAAATTATAAAAAGCTGCATTATCTACGAGTTGTTGGGGGCTCATTTTCAATGTAAAAAGCATATTTCTTTTTTTTTAGATTTAAGCTTGTTATATATATATATATATATATATATATATAAATATGTATATATATTATATAAAAAGAGAGAGGAAAGCGTTGATTGGGGTGTGAATGTGATTAATTTAAGAGGGAATTAGGTGAGCAATGTCAAAGATTGAACCTTCAACCCATGCTGGGGTCAGTAACACCCCATATTTCTATTTCTTGTTAATAATTAAATCATTTCATATAATAATATCCTGTTCTTTCCATTCACATCATCCTCTTCCAAATGCTGACTCTTTCCTCTCCCCAAACTTGCATCTTCACCAAATTAAAATCACCAAAAATGGCAGACACTGCACAACCACCCCACAATCACTCCTACGCGCAGTATTTTCCTACATATCATGTTCTCTTACAACAATATCGTACTTTCCCGGAAAACCCGCAAATATATTCAGCTTCTTTCATCCTGCTTACATCGAGCCATGAGCCCCCACCCTAACTCATTCTTCTTCCCATAACTTATCATAAACCTTGTCACTCTCAGCTGTCAAATGATCCATTAATCAAATATCTCCAGGTGTAACGCTGGATTTTTGCCTTCTGGGCATGTCCGAAAAGTGAAAATGTTTCTTTCCTTTGTTTCAGATTCCTGCAACTCTGCGGATTAAGCAGCTCTTAGATTTCAGTTCTGTATTATCTGCAGGCATACACTTCTGGGTTTGCCCACCAAGTGTTGGTAAGAATTACCCTCTCCAATTTCTACCTTTAATTGCTTCATTTGCCCTTCAATGCCTCGTGTATGTTTATCTTCTTACCCAAAAATCACTCCCACTTGTCAACCAAAACACTAGTTGATATAGTCCGAGATCGATCTGGTGTTAGAAAACGAGAGAAAAAATCCGCATCATAGTGCTTTTTCATTCCAAATGACCAACTTCTCTACTGTGGTTGGCTGTTGAATTTATTAAAATACAACTAATCCTAATTAATCTCATTCTTCGTCACTTGTTACTGTGATTCTTAAGAGAAGGCAAACACTGGACTATTATTTCATTCAACATGTTCTAGCTCTCATAACAACTTATTTACCTCAGTTTTTGATGTACTTGTTACAATAAAACTCGTAATAATCACTATGCTATTACATCCTCTTCTAACTTTATGTTTCCATTTTTTAAGTTTACTGTCCGCTTCATGCTGCTTCCCCCATTTCAGGTGTGCCTTCATCTCCTTCTTACCATGGGATGCATCTCTTCCAAAGTAATAGCCCGATCATTAAGTTTACATGAAGAGAGAAACATGGGAACGCAGAGAACCAAATCTAATAGTGGCATTCCATTGCTAGAAGACATAATCAAATCTGCTCAAAGTAGCAGCGACCAGTACTTTGAACTGGTTTTGCATTCTAGGAGTTTTGGTTCAAATGCTCCATCAAAACTGACCATGAATGACGGAACTGACAGTTCTGAAACCACTGTCAAATTGGAGATGTCCACAAGTGTAGAAGATGACGAAGAAGGGAAACAGAAAATTGTTGATGATGATCAAATTGAGAGATCTAAAAGTTGTCATTTGATTCTTCCAGAACATGTTTTGTCTTCTCTTGTTTGGGAAAATTCATCTGGGATGGAAAACAAGCATGAGTTGGCCAATGACTTTTGGCTCAGCAGTGCTGGCTTCATCTCTAAAGCTGAAAGATCTGAGCTCAACTCTCAGTTAGATCCAAAACTAATCAAAGGAAACAAATATGACTTGAACTCCAACGGGGATGCAGGAAGTAGGAGTTTTCACACAGTGGAAGAATACGATGATTTGGTCAGAAAGCTATTGTTGTCCAACTCCCTCGGGTTGACTGAGAAAGATGATACTTGTTCTTCAGAAACCACCATAGACCTTGTGGTTTCTGAGTCTGGATTTTCTAGCGCAGCCATTAATCATATTGAGGATAGAGATTCTGTCATTAAAGATAATAACAGTTCAGATATAATGCAGGCTAAAACAATGGTTCCAAGTGAGAAACATGATGTATCCATTGAGAAGGGCAATAAGAGGAAGGCTATTGCAAAGAGGCTAGAATCACTTAGAATCCCATCACCTAAGAACATACAAGTTCCAGCCATTGCTAGTCTCAGAGAATGGATTCCTCCTCCTGGTAATATATACTCTCCTGGATCTTATGTCACCCCAAAATTTGGAAGCTATTCTTCTTTAACGGCTGCTGGTAGGAAGGAATGTGAATCCAGTGAGGATAATCCTTCTGTCTTCAGTCCTGAATTGGTGTCTGAACAAGAACAGAGTATGCAGGTACTTGAAGCAGAGGAAGAAAACATTCTGAAACAGATGGAAAGTTTGGAAGAAAACGATGGGAAAATAATGGATCCTCAAGAGAGGCATCAATAGTTGCAGGTGAATGGTTATAAGAATATCTGCGTCCGCACAGTTTTGAAGTAATTATTATCAATCTCTCTACGACAAAAATAACAAGTGAACACATGATTGAGTGTTTCAAAAAATTTATAGAATTTGATAATTACAAACATCTACGAAACTTTTACAGCTTATTATTCCAAAGTCATATTTGCTGATTTTTTCTTTTTCCAACTGTAGTTTACATTCAAGAGAATTGCCCTATTGCAACTTCTAGATATGTATAGATATACATGTTTGTCTTATTCATGTACTCTTCCGGTTCTAAATATAAGACCCTTTTTTATAGTGTAAATTACACTACAAAAAGAGTTTTATATTTAAGACCGAAATAGTATATCATACTCTTGTTAGGAAAATCGTATCATTTCGTTTCAGGATATTCAATAATATTGTCATTTGAGTTGTCAAGTACTTACCAGTTTTAATCAATGGACAAATTTCTAAATCCAACTTGATGAACAGTGCGGCTACAAAG